TTAAATAACTAAGAAATCAATTACTATTATGTAACAAATTGGCGTATGCATATAAATTTAACTATTACTCTTGTTTATTCACAATTAGGGTAAATAAATCAAAATAATCAATCTTATATATTGTATATGATATATAATTAAATTTAAATGATATAAACATAGTAATATAGCACACTTTTAATATGGATATTTATTAAATAAGGTTTCTACTCATATGATTTTATGATTATTTGCATATTTGTGTAACAAAACTTTACACCAATGATTTATAAATTACGTTATGATTATTTGAATTTAAGTATTTTCCATTTTACATATACACTTCCATATTTTAAAAGGAATGAAGTTATTATAGTTAATATATGCAAATCTTTATCAAATCGTATATTTTCCTTTTCTTCCATTACATGCGTTGCGATATATATAAATATATATACTATATTACATGCGTTATATGCGTCTCTAATTATTTTTCCTTAGCAAATTTCAATTGAACCTAAAGCCGCCACGTCAGTTTAATTGATATGCTAATTGATTGACAACTAAGCAAGGTTACTTTTTAATTAATACAAACTTGAGGTTACATCTTTTCAAATGTTTCTCAATTAATATATAGGGGATGTGTACACATCACGCTAATATATTTACACATATATTATACATTTTTCCCCTGGATTTCTGGAACAATGGGTAAAGTGTTGAAGCATTCTCCGATCTCGAGACTCTGCTTCTTCCTCCACTTTGATCCCGACAATGACTTCTTATTCTGTACATAGACAAATACTTGTGGATTGAGATGTCCGACGGAGAGACATTAGCATCAAGGAAGATAACAATCATTTACATGAACTTTCGTTTTGTGTTTTTCTTATCCTTTATGTGTATTTCCTCATGTTACGCTTGGCCTCGGAACTTGCCAAGCTAGTCTCTCTTCACTCAGCTGCAAATCATAAAGGAACAATGTCAGCTATGACCAAATATTATGAAACGCTAGATTTACTGATCAAGGTCACTAAACTGATTAGTACGATCATAACATAAAAGCTTACCAGCTTCATCATAGTTAGGGCTCTTCATTAACAGCTTGCATCATGTTGATTTTTTAGTTTTTGTCGGCCTTGCATCATGTTGCTCAAAATATTGAACTCTTTGTATCGAGGCAAGCCTGACCTTTTGGTCTTTACAAATTAGACAAAACAAAGCTTTAGGTTTTGACACTCACAATTCAAAGCGAGAGATGTGTATCTGGTGAAGACTTGTTTTCATCTTTAGATGTCTTAAAATTTACCGCTTGTTCAGTAAACAATAAATCATATGAAGAAGCTTTAAATTTTGTTGTGACAGCTTCCCTGACTGTAAGGTATTTGCTCACTTGGATAAGCTACAAAAGAATCAACACATTTTTCAACCGCGAATAGATATTTGTAACTAAGCTTAAGTAATTTTATAAACATAGTTATGTGTACCTTGTATCTAACCGATATATATTAACTGCATATGAAGGCCGAAGGTCAAAGCTGATACAGTCCGATGCAGCACTACCCACCTACAAAAAGTGAGACACTGAATAGATAAGTATAATTGTATAAATGAGTCTCCTAGGCTGAGTGAAAGTTGAATAGAAGACACCAAATGCAAATCTTTGAAAGGTATCGTTGGGCAAAATAAGCCTCGTGAACTCTTTTCCTGACTTTAACAAGTCTACATGTAGTGAAGTTTAGAAAAATGTTCGGTGGAACAATAGTGTCCTAAGAAAAAGAAATTATATTAAAAAAATATAGACGGGAAAGAGTTAAATTCAGATTTATCATAGGTTTACAATTTAAAACCAATTAGAGATAAATGTATTGACCCTAATCAATAAGTTACAACTACCATGGGACTTTATTCATTCATTAGCACAAATCATAAATAAATACTCCCTCCGTTTCATATTAAGTGTCGTTGTAGAGATTTTTTTGCGTTACAAAATAAGTGTCGTTTTTGGTTTTCGATGCAAAATTTATTAATTTTATTATGTAATTTGTTTTTCTATTGGTTAAAAT